TTTTTTTTTTACTCAGAACATAACATACTACTACTTTTTGCTGAGATATGACATTTCTTGAGGTCGATCTCATCTAGGCTAAAGTTTCGATGTCGTGGAAATTTCTTTGACAAATTGTTGCTTGTTCCTTAGAAAGAAAGCTGATCTGCCATTCAAAATACAGGAAGCTGATTTTTTAAAAAAATATATTATTTAAAGCCTGGATCCAGCTGTTGTAACTTTATCAGGTTGCATGGAGGGATCTGAGAAAGCACAAACCGCTTCTTCTTTTATTACAAAGAAGAGGAACAAAAACAACAACATGCACCGTCTTTCAATGTTTACGACTGGACGAAACATCTGTGATTAACGCAGGTTTAGTGTTTGAGAATGCTGTGCAGTACTTACTGTGTAATTTAAATATTTTTGCGAATTCACCCCCACTATTGGCACATCTACAGTGGAGAGCAGGGTGTCAGAGCAGTTACCCTGAAAACATCAATATAGAAGTTTTGTCAGATGCACTGACACAATGAAGCCCGATTACTTGAAATGTGCAACGGAAAAGATTAATTTTCATTCGCTTTCACACATAAACTTGGTTTGGTAATACAATGACAGAAAGCTCTCCGTGTTGCCTACATGTCAGAGGTTCAAAATTATAATTATGCAATAAAAACAAAGGTAATTCCTCACCTCACGTTTGAAACTCATCACCAGGTGCTCCATAGTCTCAGTGTTATACCAGAAGGCAATCGGTCTTGCGCTTACTTGAGGTAGGTGGGTGACAGTCGCTCCTATCAGCAGCAGCAGCAGCAGTCCTGGAGCAGCACATGGTGGGTGTAAGTTAGATGCCATTCAGCTCATTTATTCTGCACCACAGTGTAACCTGCCTGCATTTGTTATTGTATATACTGCCTCCCCCTTTTATTAATAGTCTGCCTTGAAGTCAACAGCATGAAGAGTATCACTCGTGCTGATATTGTCGTTATTGCTTCCTGCCAGAATTCCTCCCACAGATCTTGCCTCAACAAGTTGCTTTGTCAAATTCACTTTCGTAGGTGTCTCTGCCCACGTGTTTCCTGCTAAATTAGGCAGGATTCTTGCTAATTTAAGCACATTCATTGAAATAAATGTGCTTAAAATGTTTAGGAAATCATACTGGCAATTCCCATTAGTGGTCATGGGGATTTTAACCATGCCAGTCAGGAAACCCTGTGATATGCAGGGAATCCCCTTTAACAGCAGCATTCAAAAAGCTATCATCTGTGTTAATTATAATATATAGCAAATTGGTAACATCATCCCTTATATCAAAGTTTACACATAAACTAAACCTTGTCATTAGCATAGCATAAAAAAGGAAGATAACTTACTGCTATAAGCCATAACCCGTCCTTGAAGGCATGGTGTCTCTCAGTTGTGGTCGTTCGGCCCCCATCTCTCTTCCATGAACTTTCAGAAGAATCACCTCAGGTCACAGTGAGGTGAAAGTCATCCTATTACACTCAGGAAGTTGTTGTTTTATGTCCTTAAATCTCAATCAGATTGACTTCTAAAACACCAGGTGGAGACGGTGCTGAACAGCATTCACCTCCACAAAGGTTTGAGAAAATGCTATGTGGCGAGTAACGTGTGTTACTGCATGACTTCTCAGAGTGTGTAGTCTGTTTGTCTAAGCCTAAAGTTAATGTTTCACCCTGTGTCACCAAAACAAATAAAACTGAAATCGTACTAACCTGGTTATGTTAGGATGATGCTGATCAGCTGTGTCGTGTTTGAGACGACGTTTTGACCATATTTGTCAGAGAGATCTGTCTGTCGGTTTAGTTTAATTAGCATAGACAGCGCTATGCTGTTGCGTAGACAGTTCCAGTACTGTCTACGCTACTTTCATAATCACTGGCATGGCTTGCACAGAATTTTGGCCATGTTCACAAAAGAATGTGATATTATGAAAATAGCAACGGAAATCTTCCTTTAGGACAAATGCAAACAAGAGTGTAGCAGACAAGGCAGCAACAACAATGTGTAGATAGTGAACATATGCTTTGTTTGTGTAATATAAGCCCATATTATCCACTTTGCTTCAAGAAGTCAGAAATAACAGTGGCAGACAATACACAAGGTTGTCATTGCAGACATTTTTCTATAAGTGACTCATAGATAATCACTTGGCAAGGCTCCAAAGAGAGTCATCTATTGCTGAAGGAGTTACATCAATCCATTTTAAATCCTCTTTTAGGCTCTCTGGGAACTTACAGGGACTAGAGGAACTCGAAAACACACAGGATAGCCCATAATTGAAGTTTCTTTTTTCTAGCCAGGTAGGTTTAATCTTATAGATTGCCATCCTCACATCTGAACAACAAACATAAAAATGAAGCTTATTCATTTTTATGAGCCATCATTTTTTGTTGTTGTTGTTGTTGTTGTTTTGAAGCCTGGAACACACATAGTACTGCCCTTTTAAGAGAAATTTCACTTTTTGCAATTTGAAGTCTTGAAATTGGGCTCTGTCTCCTTAAGAAGCTCCTACTCTTTCCGACACTCCTCTTTCAGAGTATCATCACAAAGGTGTCTCTCAGTTATGGCGTTTTCAGATGTTTTTAAGAGTGTTGGACTGAGAAGTAGTTCATATGACGAGCACACCAGAATTTGCATTTCCACCAGGTGTTTGCTGATTGGTGCTACTGCTAGTCTGGAGGAGTTAGATACTGCAGCTGTAAGAAAAGCTTTGTGAGAGCAAGCATTTAGGCACCCCCAAATTGTTCCCGCAGGAGATTAAAACATTTCTCAAACATGTATGAAAGACTCAAAGCAACAATTCAGGTCTGTTTTTGAGGGGATGAATAATATTATACCAAGGTCAAAAAACTCAATTTTACATAATTGCTCCTCTTTAAAAACTGAACTGTGAGACAGTTGCATCATTTCATTGGTTATGTTATTAGTTCATATATTTTTACTGTTAACTTTTAGAAGTTTATTAGTTTCGTCATTTTATTGTTTTCTTAGTAGTTTAATTTGCACATTGATAGCTTAGCGAGTTTGTTTAAATATTTAACTGTAGAGTTGAATTGTTTTTGTTAAGAAACTCTTGTATATTTGAGAGTAGTGTCTGTGTTTATGCTGCATCTGGATGTTCGAGGAACGCCATGGAGTACTGGATTTAATTTTCTTGTGCCTTGAACTTGTCATTTCGATCTAAGTGTCTTGTTTTACTAATAACAATTATTTCTTAATTATTCATGACAAAAACAAGTCTCCTCTTGTGGCACAACGTAGAAGAATAAACTATTAAACATAAAGAAATGAACTAACATGACAACATATACAAAAACCAAGAAGTAAGCACCAAAGGAATGTGGCAGTTTCACCTGTAAGCCATGTTCAGTGAAATCTAATACTGTCTTCTACAGGTTTTTCTTGACAGAGACATGTTTCAGAGACACGATGTCTCTGAAACATGCAGTACAATGCAGAGAAAGTTGTTTCACTAGTCTCCAGCAGTACATCGAGTCTCTTTTTCATTGAATATATCATTGAAAAGGAATTTTAAAAAAATGTTGGATTCTTAGTAAGCATGCAAATTAGTTTAAAAAAACATTAAACATGTCTGGATCTGCAAATCAAGATCAGATTCTCTCTTTTTGATACTAAATTTTCTCATATACAACATAAGAACCACTTTTTCATGATGAAACTCAAACAAATTTTAACTTCCTGAAACCAAACTCAAAATAATTAATATAGGACTGAAAACTATTGCACCTGGTAAAGTTTTCCAGTGCCAAACAGATGCATTGTCTGTTTTGGTGCCACAATCTGTTGTAACTTTACAAGTGTATTTCAGGACAAAGTACTTATGAACACACAAGGTGAGAAAGGTGTGAAAGTTTAACTACAGATTTCCTCTCTTCCTACTGTTATCTTTTGCATCAGTTTTTGTTGTGGAACATTTACTTGTAGGATATTGCACAATGTCTTGGAATCCTTAACAGAGTTCATAGACATATTATAATGGGAAATAGTCAATTAGTCCAACAAAAACAAGAAGAGGATAACCTGTTTGTGTCCTGTTACCCACATACACTTTATCTGATTTTGGAACAGCAAAATTAAACTTGATTTGCAAAGCAGCCATCAATGGGTTTCAAAGCCAACCCAGCAAATCCACCCCTCACCCTGCCTCCCAGCACACTCTCCTCTCCGCGTCTGCTCAGTCAAGCACTGCACTGACTCTTTGCACGTCAACCAATTTGGGAAACTCCAGGAGAGTGTTACATTTCAGAATTTGTTATGGTTTAGAGTTATGGGCAATTGAAAACAATGTTTTTTTGCTTTATTCCTTCGATGACGTACAGATTTCCAGGCCGATCAGAGTTGAACATGGGAGAGTAACACTTCTGGAAAATGACTTAAGAAAGCTTATCTGTTGCAGAATCTTTCGAAGTTTTTTTTTTTTTTTGCCTATGTTGTTTTGTCACTGACTTGAAAATATTGTTACCTCAGATGACATCAGGTAAGTGTGCTAACCTGACGTTATGTAAGACCGGAGAGACAAAAGGGAAGGTACGTTTAAATAAACCAGTTGACATGAAAGCCAGTGATGAATGAGTGAAAGAGATGTGGTTAAACGCTGGGAGTTTGGATGCTGGACGATGGTGGGAGGAAAATGAAATTAAGCATGGCACACAGAAATGAGGAGGACTTAATATAAACAGGGAAACTGGGAAATCAAACCTAAGCAAGACAGAAACAAACTAAGCACAACAAATAAATAATAAACATGATATAACTAAAATAACTAAGAGTGGACTGAACCAAAGTAAAACAGAAAGAAGGCTAATGTTGCAAAAATAAGAGGAGATAATAAATGAATCGAACTACAAGTCCAGAAAAACTCTAAACATCCTCATAAAAGGCATGTCAGACTGACAGTAAAATTGTTCACTGATGACAGTAATTGAATTTAATGACACGTTAGGTTTTACAGAGCACATACAATTGATAGTTAGTCGTGATAAAACCGCAAACTCCAGTGATTTACATCTATTGGTAAGTTTCCCCAGTTTTTTGCAGTCATGTGCTGCTTCTAACTGGGTTTCTTCCAAAACTGCCCTTTAGTTTGCTCTATACATCCTCACAGCATGATGCTGCCACCACTCTGTTTCTCTATGGAGTTGACGTAGAGAATCCTTACTAATTCTGCGACTTTTGGAGGCAATTGTTCTACTGGAGCTTATTTACCAAGGAACTGAACACAAATGCATTACAAATATTTGGAAATTCATTCAGTATAAAACAAATTTCCCTCCCACTTCATATTTTAGCATCTTTCCACATGTAAATTGTGCAGGAGTCTCACACAAAATAACAAATCCAATTGAATAAGTGGAATACTGTGGTTTAAACGTGACAAAATGTGAAAACATCTGCAAGGCTTTCTGGATACACATGTGTGCACTTGGGTTCTATGCAACACACTTACGTGTAGATGTGCGTCTCTTCAGAATGAGCCGTGACCATGGCAACACCAAGCCATGAGTACCTTTTCAAAAGCCTGGCCTCTCCTTCTCCCTCTTTTATCTTTCAGCCCATCCTGCCGATTTCGCTCCACACCAGCCAGCTGGGAGACTGGGAACAAAGCAAAACAGGAAGACGTCAGTTCCAGAACATTATCCTTATAGATTTTTAGATGGTGTTATGGATTCATCATGTTTTATTTTCCAAATACTTGAAAAACTTGAGAATCTGCCACATTTTTGAATTTTTAACCTCTTGAAGTGCATCAGATGTATCAGAAAAATGATGAAGAAAGTGAAAAGACAGTATAGAGCTTAAAGGAAACCCATAGAGATGCTGGGACAGGAAGTAAACATGCCATGGATTGCTTGGAGGATTTCTCACAGTGTCCAGCTTGTAACAAAGAATATGACGTTGCTTTGATCTTACCTTGTTCTCATACGATCTGTGCTCGCTGTGTGGCAGCTGAAGAGGAAACCGGGTCACATCCTTTGTGTCGGTCAGTCTGCTCGGTGCCGTGCCCCTGCTGCAGACAACCCGTAGAGCTGCCATGTTGGACCTGGTCATCTGCCGCCTCCTGTCTCCCTCAGCATCCCACTCTGAGGTCTGAATATGCAAACTGGGATACAGGCTTCAAAGACGGATCAGCAAGGTCTCACCACGAACAGGTAAACCATGTGACCCGATCAAGATACCTGCCACAATTAAAGAGATATTGGATGTACAGTAACCGTGTGGTATTGGAGAAAAACTAATTTATACGCATTTTTGCCTAAAAGTACTGCTACCCCAGGCAGATTTCGACTTGAAATTATTTTCATTTAACATAAAAAGTTGATTTTGTATTAAAAACGAGTTCCCTTTCTAAAAAGAATCAATGGAAAATATCTATTTGATTACAGCTTCCAAAACCTTCATATAATCACTGAGCAGGATTTTGGATGTTTTCATGGCTATTTAAATTATTTCTCCTCAGTGACGAGAACACAGTCTGTGAGGCTGGAAGTCCAACTTGTCAAATTTTACAAAATAATATACATTTTGATTACTCTCCTACTCAATAATGTGCAATTTGCATTACTTAACCAAAAATGACAATAAAGTTAGAAAACAGATCGTAGCTAAGTAATTATACAGATTGAAACATGACTAAGCAGCTTCATGAGCTGATAATAGAGTTTTATTTAAAATTAGACAGAGTAGGACTGTATTGTACTGTACAAAGCAGTTATGATAAAAAATAAAAAAAAATTTTTAATTACCTCAGTTGAACTTTGCTGCTTCCACTGGATTTCAATGAAAAACAAGAAGTCATGTAGCGCTTATCAGAAAACGATCATCCAGCAAACTTCCCTGAGGCGATCTTGGAAGGAACAGTGTGGGAAAAATTCCTCCGGAGTGACGGCAAACACTCAGTGAGTCAGACAGAGGATCATTTCCGAGACTTATTGTTGTTAATGGTGCTTCTTTTAAACTTCATCTTTCCTTGTCCCGGTAAAGCTCTCTGAGACACTGGCTAACTTATTTTCAAGAAAAAACTGTCCTATATTCTGTTAGTCGATGGGCTGTTCGAGGATATCTAGGTTTAGCTGAAGCTTTTCAATATTGGATTCATGTATGGGTAATAAATGGTGGCAGTGAGGATCCTGCTGAGGCTGGTCTACATTTTAATAACTTCAGAAACTGGAGAGTTTTAATATCATATCCTGACATGAACAATAATTCAAAAAGAATTTTCCTCATCATCAAGAAGCCGAGTGCACCGTGGACCGTCTGTCAGTCCGTCACAGAACAACACACACACGCACACATGCACGCACGCACGCACACACGCACACACACACACACACACACACACACACACACATACACACACACACACACGCATGCACACACACCTACACACACACCCACACACACACACACACACACACACACACACACACACACACACACATGCACAGATACTTACTTGTAAGTTCAATTTAGAGAGACCAATTAACGATGCATAATGTAACTTTTATACATTTTTTTATTAAAATATGCATTTTTACAAATTTGGTGACAACTGTCACCATTAATGCTAACTGTAGTGTAGTGTAAAATCTTCGCATAGCTGAAATGTGCTATGCAAATAAATTTGACTTGACTTGATTTTTGTTCTCTCATCTCTCATGAATCATTGGGAAGGGAAATATATATATATGCATCAATGTTTGCTTTTCTGCCTCAATATTTACAATACCAGGGTTTTATTTAATTCTGCTGATACAATTAATTTACCTGATGTCAGTCTTGTGCCAACAATGAATTTATTTTCATGCCCTGTGTCTTTAAAATCCATTGTCATTGTTTTTCATAGGAGGACAGTGACTGCAAATCGACACTAAGCAGCAAAAGATGTAAGTATAGTAGGCTTCTTTTGAGGAGTAGTTTATAGTTTTGTGAAGAAGTAAAGCAGTTTTGAGTTTCTGCTAAAGGCTGTCTTCTTCAGTTTCAACAGAACAAAAAGACAAAAACGACAGAATGCAAGCATTTTTTTTTGTCTCATAGCCTGTAAAAATGAAGAAGAAAGCTAACTCTCAGTTGTTGTTTGGGGGATTTTTCTGCATTGTTCCCAGAAACACGTCTACCTCTGTGATATGACGGTGCTCCCGGCTCTTCTAAGATTTTTATACAATGTTTTGCTGTTGTTTATGCGGAGGGATGCTCAGATAAACTTGCAACAATCATTTTAGTCATTGTGGCCATAGTGGCTAGATATTTCCAAGCAAACTACACAGTTTACCAGAACCACTGTAGAGCCTGACCAGTCCTTCTACAGCTGAAAGGATTTGACTGTCTGAGTGCGACATCTACTAGATGTTCTAACAAATGGTTATGATTTCAGCTTTCTGTTGATCTGCTGCCTTTTGGGATCAGTTCATCTGCTCACCATATATCTTCTGTTTGACTCAGGCTCCAATGTGCGCAGTTCCTTTGTATTGCCAGTGGATGGTGCTGTCGACCTGCTGGAAGAGGAGATGGAGCGGAGTGTCTATGGTCAGGAATCCAGCTGTATTTTCCTGCCTACTAAATAGCAATGACAGATGATATGTGCATAAGTATTTAAGCTCTCATGTGAATCATGTTAGGGCTGCGCTTCTCCCTGGACCCTTCGTCTGTCCCACCGCCCCTCCGTCTGTCCAACACCCTCCTCACAGTGACCTACGGTGACAGCGGTCCTTCTGACCCGCATCCTCCGATCAGAAAACCTGCGTTGACCCCTGACTCCACGTTGCTTCTTCCTCATGTGAGCACTGATGTCACCATTGCTCGGGGGCAGTACTACTGGGAGGTGGATGTCTGTAACAGCTCCGTCTACAGGGTTGGTAAGAGCTCTGTTGGTTGTGGTTGAACTGGGTCGATGCCAGTTGATTCATTCCTTCCAGAAGCCCTCACCCTTACTCAGCAAGACTGCGCTTGTTTATACCTACACCCACAATAAAGTGCACAAAGACAGTGAACACACACACACACACGCACACGCACGCACACACACACACACAGGGGCTCTGTTCTGATTCACCTTCTTTGGTCGTGGGAATAAAGGTGTTGGAAGCATTGGCCAATTATTGATCATTTTTTAAGTGTTGACAGCAATACTCGCTGCAGTAATCCAGGAAAACTCCCAGCATCCTCCGTTTCTTCATGTAACCCCAGACTGACTCCAGGATGTTGACATCAGGGCTCTGTACCATCTGTTGCACGACTCTTTGTTTTTCTTTTTCCTTGCGTGTTTGGGTTTATTGTCATGCAACAGAGGGAATTTTGGACAAATCAGATGCCTCCCTGTTGGTATTACGCAACAAACACAAATCTAAACACAGAATGTGGACAAAAATGTTGATAAGCTAAGAGGCTTTCTTCGCTGAAGTACAAATGGTGCACTTCAGATAGTCTCTAGGATTCAAAGTGTTATATTTTACAGGTCATGTTCCCAACCTGAGTAACTGCAGAGCACCATCTCTAAGATCGTAAGGGTATGGTAACATCCTAATTATTTTCCTCATCCTTTCTGTGTTGTCTATGCTCCTGCAATGACTGAGAAAGTCATTGAGAAAGTCACAAAGACGATCAACGTTGGTTTGTAAAGATTTCTACTCTGCTACAAGATGATAGTGAAATGGTCAGCAATAAAGAAGAGAGAACAGTGGTCAGCCTTCTGATGGAGTTGTAGTTTGTGAAACAATGGACCTACATAATATTAGATTGTGACGTGAATTTTACTTTTTCTTTGGATTAAAAATAATAATAAAGTTCACGCATGGCTATTGGTTTACATCTTTTGACTACATTACCTAAATCCAAAAGGTTGCACATTTAAAATTATAATTTGTAATGTGTATATATTTATTTGTACAGCGGAATACTCAGCTGATCTGAGTCTTTGTCATCATGTTTGGACCAGCAATGAATTTCAACACGACAACATGAAATATCTGGGTTTATTTGGGTCCCTCTGAACCAGAACCTGGAGGTTCTCCATTGCTGAGTGCTGCTACAAACATCAGCGGAGAGTTGACCACAGCTGCTGCGCACTCACGTCCCACCCACCACAGTGAGGAACACACCATATAAACGGAAAACCTCACTACCTGGAGTAAAACCGAACCGCACATTAACCGGTTGGTGCGCGACTTGCCAGTGGAAAAGCACCTCAAATTACCCTTATTACAGATCATTAGCAAATTGGTTGGCTTCCTTAAAAGCAGGTGCTCTGGAGCATAAAGATATGTGTTAACATTAGCTATGTTTAAAGACGTCAGCGATGAACTTATAGAAGCAAACCCATTAAACTTCGATGGGTTTTGAGGTCATTTTTAAGCTATTCGAAGCCCATCACGCAGATAAAGATATCTTGAGTCAGAAGGGTGTATTGTCTGTCCAATATCTGAAGCTTTGCCTATCCTGGGTCATGAAACCAGCAGGACCTGAGAAAACAAGACCACAAAATGTCAATCGGAAGTTCTTTGAGTGATTTCTAATTAGGTTGCCTCTTCGCTTTACTGGAAAATTCCTCAGATCTAAATGAACACCAGGGTTAATTAGGCTGACTATGACATAGTAATAAAGTCCTTTTAACAAAATGTACTTTATTCAAGTCGTCCTATTCAACCAATTGTATACATTGTAAACACTGCATTGGCTGCAGGAGTATCTCTTTAACTTCACTCGGTAACCTTTGCACGTCTGTCCTCCTAGGTGTGATCTCATCAGATGGCTGTAGCGGCTGGTGGTTGGAGAGAAATGTCTCGGCTTTTCATGCAGTGTACGATGGAAGCTGCGAGCCTATCGGCACTGTCCCACCCAGGATCAAAACCCTCGGGATATTCCTCAGTTTTGAAGGCGGGATTCTGAGTTTCCACAACCCGCTGACCCAGGAGCATCTTGTCACGCTGCCGACCCGCTTCAGCCCTTCCGGGGTGCTCCCGGCTCTGGGTCTAGGACAGGGCAAGCTGAGGCTACACTGCGGCCTCCCGACACCTCCTTATGTGTTTCTGGGTAAGGACTCGACTTTTAGGGGTCCTTGTGGTCCAAATCGTGTTTGGTGGCACAGAGCGGTTCCATTCCAGTCAGTGAAAACAGTGATCCAGAAGTTTGAGAAGCTGGCATCATCAGACTAAAAGTTTCTTTATTCTTGGATCATCCTGTGGAGTCTGTTGAGACTAAAAGCTTCTAAAAGCTTCTGCTCACAGGGAACACCCACAGCTTCTCTGGCTGGTTTGATGTTTAACTGCCATTTGAAAGGCTAATTTTCCATCTTGGCGTGCTATGGCTACCCTTTTTCATTCTCTACTTGAACCCGGAGCTGCAATTGACTCTCTCCCTGGGATGCAGCCCTTTCTCCCAGCCCAACCACCCCCACTGATTTGGGTTTGGGCCAGAAAGAGTCCTGGGTTATATGAAGTGTGAGGAAAGGGTGGGATTTTACCAGCAGGACTCCTTGATTTGTCTCTGTGTGCCGGCTGTTGGACAGTAGGTGTCCCACACTACGGAAACACACGTTGTGCATAGCGCCGCTTTAAAGGTTTGCCCAGCCACTCGTGCATTTTGGTGTGTGTTTGCGCAGGAGGAAACAATGCGTGAGCGGCAGGGGGTGAGGTGACGAGGCGTGAGTACAGTGACACCAGTGGTGTTGACATGGAGCGGCAATGACAGGTGGTAACATACATTTATCCCACCGCCTGTCTTCGAGGGGAGCAGTAGGGCCGTCCTTTCTGACCTTCTCGAAAACCACAGGACACCCAACGACTTCAAAAGAGCCAAGAGAAAGCAAGAGAACAGAGAGGGAGAAAGAGTAACAGCATGCATGTCAGCAGGTGATGAATTGATATAAAAGAATAAGCCGAGAGAGGCTTTCCAAACGGCCTCCATGCCAAATAGGTAGAAAAGGTGTCGCAGCAGAAACTGTCCTTCAAGGATGCAATGTTTAAAATGCAGTGAAGCTAATTGTGACATGTTTACTGTTTGTTTACTGATGGTTATGTGTGCTCATTTTATCAGGAAGAAGATTCAACACAAAAGGTCACAGTAGAAAAGCTGTGTAACTGTGTTCGATTTCTTAGCGTCATAAGTTTGTATTAAAAGATTAGTGGAAACTGATACTTGATCTTATCTGTTTGGAGCCATAAAACAGTTTTTTTTGTGTGTGTGTCTGTATTCAGTGGTAAAAGCTTTTGGCTCAAAAATGGTGAATGTTTGGGAGTGTGTGTAATGCAGGACTGTGGTAAAGTGTTGAGAAAAATGTTGTTATAGATATCGTAAGGATTAGCAGCTGGAGCTAAACAGAGCGTGTAATTTAGATGTTGAATAAGGAAAATATAAAGCAGTAATCCTGAAGGTTTTCCTCCTGTGATGTGATGTATGTGAGTGTGTGTGCTTTTTTTTTTTCATTTGTTTGTGCCAAACTCAAACCTTTTTCTAAAAGGCATGATAATAAATAAAAAGATGTGTAACATAAAAAAATAAGAGTTTGCAAAGATATTCACCCCCTTCAAAGTGACAGACGTAGTTCAACGAGGCTCACCTTAGTAGGGCTTGTTGTCTCTCTGTGAGCAGAATGGAGATCACCTGAGTGCAATGACTGTGTGTCTGGAAGGTCCTGGGTTAGTCAGAGCTTATGTTTCTCGAAATGCACTTGGAGCTTTTCGTTTCACCGTCTACATTCTGTTCCTGTGCTGTTGTTTTATATTTTCTTTTTTTGGCGTTTAAATTGTAGCTTTCTTGCACGGTGCTTTCATTTTTCCCGAAGAAAACATTCTGTTAATAGCGTCTGTGATTGTCTCAATGTTAATCCTTCTGGCACCAGAGACTACAAATTAGAAAGAACAGAGCACGAACACAGCACCACTTGTTAGCATTACAACAGCCATTTGTCTGCACAATAAGACCAAAACCAATCAGTTCAACATTATGAGGTTTGGTGGAGGATCAGAGTGTGGCCAAAAGAACAGAATGAACTTTACAACTGAATAGGATCTTTTTTTTTTTTTTAAATAGTGAAACAAGGCATTGCCCATCGAAAATAAAACTAAATAAATGTTTTTTTCCAGAAATCACTTCCAGACCCCAGAGAAACGTAGTATTTCGCCTCCTGGAGAAAAAATGCAGATTGACTTGAAAATATTATGTTTTACTGGATGACAGCCTTTCTTTTAGAGATTAGTAAAGCATTTAATGAAAAACCAAAACGTTAGATCAGGCCTTTTCTTTTGGCATATAATCATTTTTTTTATTTTCCAGACATTCAGGTTATATTGTTCTTGAATATGTTGCTAGTTTGCATGTCTTACAAGCTGCCACCTCATCTCTTTGCTTTTTATTTTATGTGTGTAATCACTGTTCATGTTATGGCAAATTTACTATGCAGAACTCAACCACTGCATTTATGACCTGATTTCTTGGCCTTTGCTATGCATAAGGAACCAACAGCACTGGCAGGTTTCTAGGAGGTTTCATAAGGACTCTCTAGAGTTTGTTTAACTTCAACCTCTAGAGATAAATTTATGACCCATGAGTTAGTTTCTCGTCACAGTAACCAGATTTTTTTCTTAATTTCGTAGAAGTGCATTCTCTCATTTTGCACCTTGATCACGGACTGAATAAAAAAGGTTGAGACGATGAAATCCGCTTTCCCGGTTTCTAAGCTGGTGCACAAAAATAAATAGAATGCACATTACTGTTTTGCCAAATGAAGGGGGAAAAAAACGTACCACTTGTACTTTCATCTTTGCGTTTTTTTCTGCCCTCGTCTGGATCTCAACACACTCGTCTGGTGTGTTGGGATCCGACTCTTTTGTTGTGACTCACAGTGACGAATCATCTTATAAACTTTCCCCATTTTTTTCCCCCCTCCGTCTTCATGACTGCAAGCCCAATCTGGTGCCGGCAACAATTTGAACTTGGCACAACTTATGTTCTCACTCGTTCTGTCTGTGACCGCTTGGCTTCTGATTGGGTCAAGCCAAATGAACAATCCTCTCAAGGCTCACACTAAGCTTCCTGTTTTTCCGTGCCTTTTTGGGAACTCGAGTGTGTTTACCCAGATCATATAAAGTGCATTTTAATGTTACCGATAATGACGACTTGAACAACGAGCTCTGACATACGCAGACAACATATATCAGGAGGAGCTCTGTAATTAAGGGGAGCTTTTGCTAGTGTCTATGGTGTTTGAGCTAATTTTCCACTTGGGACCATCATTTTGTGGCTGCCTGAACTCGGTTAAGATGGGATAAAGAAGTGCTGAGTCAAAGAGAAGCTTGTTAGCCTGTTGCCTCTCTGGCCACTCACTGGAAATGACTGTGTGTGTTGATGTTTAACGGTTGAAGTATTTACCGCACTAGTTTTTTTTTTTGTTTTTTTTATAAGAAATGCATCCGCTCTGACTGCTTCTTGTAGCTCTCTCTGTCTGTCCTTGTTCTCTTTCTCTCTGTGTGTGGATTTTTCAGCTTTCACAAATAAAGTGTGTGGAAGCAATTTGACTCTTGTAAACAGAAATGAGACCAGAGTGATGCAGATTTCAAAGAGCCGACTGGATGGGTGTTCGGGGCAAGGGGGTAGGGGGTAGGGGGGGTTGTCTGCCAGGAAGGATGGATAATGCATTGTGGCCTGTGTGCCTGAATCTAGCAGCTTCCGCAGGATGGATTCTGGCTTTTCTGAACGTGAGCTTTAAAAGAATCTACATGTGGCTTAAGAGCTGACGGTTGAAAATAAATAAATAGAACTCCAAGTGTTTTACATAGTAGGATATTAAGATGATCTCATCTTTACCAGATTCTAAAATTACTTAAATATGACGTCAGGTTTCCAATAACTCAACAGATTTCACACAGTCTTATATTTACAAAGCAAAGATGAAGACAATTGCGCAGTCTGTGTTTGAAATATTAAGCACATCCCATCCAATCGTTTGTAAAGCAGACTTTGACTAAAATAAACTTAAAGATATTTTAAGTCATTTTCTGTATGGCTTTATCGGGATCGCTGAGTCTGGAGTACTTTGGAAACAGATGAGTTCATCTTTGACTCAGAGGAATGCCGGTTGTCCAAATCACCACCACTCTGGTGGTGGGAACATGGTGGGAAGAACTGTTCCCACCATGTTGGGAAGAATTGTTTGTTCTGCTGTTTTATTTGTTGTAGCCGATACAGAAACTATAGCCAACCAACTCCAACTCTACTTTGGTCTCATCGTTTTGACGGACGTCTTTTCTGTCTGTCTTCGTTAGGATGCAAATGTACAAACCTAAAATGACCTGCTGTGTTTGTTTGAGAGAGTTGGAGAGTTTGAATTTGTTACAGAAATGTATTAAAACATGACAAGTTAATAAGCAGGGTGAAATAATTACACTGTTCTTATTTTGTGGCAGGGTGCTTGCTGGTAAATAAGCGATCCTAGTAGGATGAATGTTTTCTTTCTTTGTTTCCTGTTGAGGGCAGATGTGCAGGCTAACAGGACTAGTAGAACAAATGTGTAGAACAGCTGATGAGCTCATATGAAGAAAGGTGAATTTTCCAGGGGGTGTTTCTGAACTAGGGTGTGGCTTGGAGGTAAGAGAGATGCTCTGCTTGAGGTTCTAGGCAAACTCCAAGTGAGTGGATAAGGGACAGGAAAACAACAGGCCAGCCACTTCACATCACTTGAGTTATAATACAAAAGGCCTGGATTATCTCAACCAAGATGGAGAATCTGACACAGCATGCTGGTTCTCCTATATTCTGGCTTGAGAAAGAAATAATCTGCAGGAACGTGAGCAATGGAACAGCTAGCAGAGGACAAATCAGGAAGAGGTTTTCTCCTTGCCACTGTTTCAAACAAGACGTTCTTGCTCCTTCCTTTTTGCAATCCTTCATGGCAACAAATAATGCAAATTGGAGTGTAGTAGAAAAAGAGAAGTGGCCGGCTTTGTTTTTAAAATAACATGAAGTTTGTAGTTGCATAGAATAAAAGTAAATACTTTTAACGTTAAACCAGTAGGATGTGGTTACTTTTATTAAGCCTCACTTCCTTCTATGTGCCAAATCAATGAATATCTATTGGAAACCCATCCAGAATCAACGGCCCTTCATGCCGTATTCCCTCTGCAGGAATATCTTTTTACTGCATGATGTCTGATGTTGGGAATGTTGGGAACATTTCCCCCTGTGCTCAGCTCCTCTCTCTAAGGTGTCAAAATAAACTAAGCGGCCCCTCCACTCCCAGCTCTAGGCATATTCTGGCTCTCAGTCGCTAATTGCTCGCAGTAATTATTGCACCGCTCCATCGCCTCTCTGGCTTCGGAAATTAGAGAAGGTGAGAAGAAAGGAGGTGCGCTTTTCTTTTCAGAGTTTCGACCATGTCTGCCAATTGATCCCATTTGTTTGAATAAACATCAGCCCCGCAAGACTTCCCCCGTTTGCATATTGTGTGAGGGACAGAGGGGGCCATTAGCCACCCCCACCCTGCCCCAGTTGCCAGGCGGGCAGCAGTCCCACGAAATTAGTTTTACAACTGAACGGGCTGCCTCTTATTACCATCATGATGAGCATCAGCATAACAGTGGATGGAAACAGCACAGTGCGCACCGCTGTTGTGTCACTCCACCGGTTTGCCTTTTAGAGCCATTTCTTTTTTTTAGTTCTCTTTCTTTTCTTTACAGCCTTACATCCTGGAGCAGCCAACGAGAAGGGTTGCAGCGCTTGAGAAAGAATAAGAGGGCCGTCCTCTTCTGCATCTCCGCCTTCAATGCAATAACCTTGAATGCGCACCAAAGCCAAAGAGTTCAAAGGCGATGTGTTCCCTTTCCTGTTATGACAAAAATTAAAAATAAAAATAAAAATAATAATAATAATCAGATTATATCACCATAAAAGGCTTGGAGCTCTTTGCTTTTTGCAACAACAAAATGTCATCATCCTATAAACAAATAGCTTAGGTTTTAAAAAATATATAAAATAAAGTAATTGCTTGTCAATTCAGCCCCTTCACCATTCTTGGCTTTGTATTTTTGGTTGTTTCGTTTCCCAGGATTTCTGGAGCTTATAGGGACTTTCACCGTTTCAAGTCCTGTTTCGGACAGTATTTGACGTGAAGTGAAGATTTCTGTTGCGCTAGCGGGGTCATTTTTGCACTTTTGCCATATGAGTACACTGGCATTTCTCACTTGTAAACCCAGAAATTGGCTAATTGGAAAAATCCAAATCATTCATTGAAATAGGACACTATTGGCTAAATTTGACCAATTTGTATCTGAGTATTAGTAACTATTTTTCTTTTTTTGTCAATGCAAACATACTAACATAAAAATCAACTGACGTGATCTACGTATCTACGTGGATACGAAATGGAACTGGAAATGGACCAGTATGGTGTTGACAATTGGCGGAGAGATATTAGTAAATAACCACAGGGTTGTTCTTTTTCCCTGGATGAAGAGAAAACAGTTAAAGCACACACATCAGCGCTGCAGTTCCACGTGTGATGAGGAACAGGTGGGGTGTGTGCGGCACATCTGCCAGGCCATCCGCGACTCGCATCTCCCCGTCCAAGCAGCAAACAGGATGCGGTCCCCCGCTTCTCCCTGCGCTCTGCAGCAGGGAGAAGCGTTTATCACTTGCAAACCAAAATGTCTGCTGCTGCTGCAGACACAAAGCGCCAAGGGGAGAATAAAGTCTCCACGATCATGCAGGGATCCATCCTGCAACTTTGTGCGTGATTTACTGCCTCCCACGCACACAGCGCGGATAATATAATTTTAATTTGCAAAAATCCGCTCCGTCTACCCCACGGGTGGGGTGGGGGGGTGGGGGGTACACGGAGAGATCCTTTGAGAGCTCTCAAGGGATCGCAGTGGGAATAACTCTATCTATCTATCTATCTATCTATCTATCTATCTATCTATCTATCTATCTATCTATCTATCTATCTATCTATCTATCTATCTATCTATCTATCTATCGAACATTGATCGGAAGGCTCATAAAGCTGAAGGCACGCAGATAATTTTAAATCGATTTCTCTGGGTTTGAATGTTTGTTTTATCAGAGGTTACTTCTGGCCATTTCCCTGTTGATTTTAGCGGTCCAAAAGCAATGGGATTGTTTTCTAATTGAAATTAAATGACTATGTAATCACCAAATAAACTAAAATTCCACAAATGAATGACGGCCACGGTTCTGAGGCCAAAATACACTTATAAATTAGTGGAATTCATTATCCTTCTGCTCAACAAGCGCCTTACACAAATAAAGCCTATTAGTATAAACATGCCTATAGTGCTAATAAAGTGTTTGTTTTAATAAGCATGGCGGATTTTGAACAAACATTGAATTTCCAGGAATCTTACTGCACAATAAAATATGAGAAACGCTTTTCTCAAATCTGTAAGGACCTGGTCTGATGTTTGGAAAGGCAACATCTACTCTGATGAGCTGCTAAGAGTAATAACAAAAAATGGTACGTTTTATTTGGGTCAACTTGAATCAGTATTTCTGAGTAAAAATGGTGTGAGTGTAAAGGCTAAAAGGCTTCTTAAATTTTGACCAATTCTTGAAATGTACTTTTTGTTTGGCTTATCTTCTTTGTTAACAACACTAAAAATAAGAACTTTGCTGTATGATTGGCAAATCAGGTACTGAAAAACCAACCAAAAATAAATAAAAAATAATAATAATTTAAAAAAAAAAACTCTGACAGCCTGAATTTAATGGCATCAAAAGCCACCATTTTTGGGGAGTGCAAACACAAAAGAAGATAACTTTAATGTAAATCTGAGGCTAGAGATAGATGCAAAGTTAAATTCCACTTCAACAGAAAAACATTCCTGTGACAGTTGATAACTTTTAGTAAGTTGCAAGTCATTCATTATAGAACCAGCATAAACGACACAGCCTTACTATTTGCTGTTAGTCACTGTGCATGACCATTGAAAATAACTGAACCAACATCGTCAGATAGACTGCAATAACATGTCTATATAAGACCTGTTACTAGTAGCTCATGTTAACATTTCACCATTAATGAACATAACATTATCAAACAAATGTGACTGCTCTACAAATGGACAATGGCTAATATGTTAGTATCCCAAACTCCTTTTATAGTGTGCTATAACTTTGACAAGAGGAAGCCAAGGAGGGATTTAGCAGTCAAAAGTTAAAGTAATGCGAGTAACTCTTCTCTTTCGTTATGTTTGTCCAGGAGAAGATTTTCCTGCAAACGGTTTTGTTACCAGATTCATTTTCTTCAGTAATTTGAATAATAAACTGAACCAAACTGCATTGTTTCATGGAAATATGTCATTGATCTGGACTCTCTAGCCCATGTCTAAACCTTACTGACATCTTTATGAGAAAAAGATAAATAAATAAAAGCCACATTGATTGACCAACTGAGCTGGATTCGCTTGTCATGAAGTGTTAGAGTGTCAATGATGGGTATTATTTTTTATTATTTTGTGAAAATTCACTGCGAAAAATGAAAGTGTATCTGTGTTGACAGCAAAAAGTGTGACAGCCAACCCCTGTATATCCTAATATGCTTGATTATTGCGTAGATAATTTTAATGGCTAATATTTAACACCCTCCAAAATTCCTTTTTTGTAGTGCAGCGCAATGGGGTTGCTGGGTACAGACTGGAAACAGAGTCAAGACTTTTCTAAGGACATGTCTGACATTTTTTGATCAACAGCTGTTATGAAATCGCGCTGGCCTCCTTCAATACACACCAAACGCTCCGGTGAGCATCCCAGTGTGTACTGGGTCGTGTTAGCTCTAATAGACGACTTAGCATCCAGTCTGTTTAATGAATCACCGCAGCGCTTAACAAAAGCCGTCGCTTATCGCTCCATGATGAACAACAAACAGCCCATCATCGATCCCAATGGCGGGGTGGGACACAGAGTCTGTAGGCTGCGTGAATCCTCACACCCGGGTGGAAGTGCGCCCCCCACCCCCCACCCCCCCTGCAGAAGCCACATCATGTGCATAAAAACGATACCTTCAGTTCACACCTCTTCATGCGCTTCTGACTCTATGCCGATTCGATTTGGCACCTTTTTAGGCGACTCTTGAGATTAACCAGTATCCTTTCCCAACATTCCTTGATTAATCATTTATTCCAAACAGCTTAGGGACACAGCTGGCCTGACAATTCCTGAACTCTCCACCATAAATCAAACAGGGGCAGCTATAGTGATGTAAACCTGCGTCGCTTGTCTCCCCCCCACTCCTCTCCCAAAGGGACCACTGCGAGGAACTGAACTGTTACCTCACATGCAGCTTTTGTTTGATGGGAACATTTTGCAGATCTAAATAGGTCCCAATAAATTCCCCACCCTTGTGCAGCCCCATATTGAGCTCGGTGAACTGTAAAATCGTTGGGGTTAAACAGCCTTCGGGCACCTGCGTTAAGCCAAGGCTGCCTAACTGCAAGTCTCACTAAATGAGATTCTTCCACCAGCTCTTAGGCGATCCAACAGGAACAGAAAGCCAAGAAAATCTGGCGTAAAGCATTCCAGCTATTTTCATTTGTTTCTGTTAAGTAGCTTAGGCCCTGAAGGTAAAAGCACATTTGGAAAAAATAAAAAATAAAAGGCGATCACTCAGACATTCCTTACTGTACATGATCTGGAGATTCACTCGTTCACTCAACAGGAGCGATCATGTAGCTGCGCTTTGTGTGGGTGTCAGATGACCTCGATGTGCTTCCCATCATACCGAGGAGTCTTTATTGCTGCAGAGCGTGAAATTTGGCGCAGGATAGTCATAAATCCATGAAGGGACCAAAAGACGAGCAGTTAACCCAAACAGTGGAGCGTTTGGCGCTGTCAAAGCTATTAGAATGACACAAACGAGGAGAGCACAGAAAGCCAACCAATCAAAACCAAACACTGGGGGGAAAAAGAGAAAGAAGCTAATTTCGATGAAAAATAAA